AATTAAGAAGTGTCCTTTCAATGGGGGGCTCTGCAGTGCAGGAGCAGCTCCTGGGAAGTGCCTGGTGAATCACTGGCTTCGCAGTAGTGGCAGTTCTCACCTTTAACTAGTTCTGCAAACTCCCAGTGCTCCTGTGTTAGTGCCGTTGCAATTCAAAATGTATTTATGCTCAGGGAGTGGTAAGCCTGGAGTGCCTGACAATCTCCTAATCCTCCCTGTTCTTGGTCCTTCCACTTCAAAATCTTGGAGTTAGGTATCTAGCCCGGAAAACAAACACGGTGTGATGGATCCCAAGGCAGAAGTCAAGCCTTGCATTCCTCCTGATTGTTTCTACTACCAGTTGGTTAGAGAGAGCACGTCACCCCACAGATGCCTGTGACGGTCTCCTCACTACAACAAAAATGGATCCAAACCATCCCCTTTCCCCCAAAGTTGGAAATCTCAAAATATGTGAAAAGTCAAGGTCCAGATCCTGGAGATGCCTGGAGAATTACTGCTCCCCAGGCAGATTTCTCATGTCCTCTCTCTCTGTTTTATGGCTTTTCCATAATAAATAGGGAGCAAAGGCTGAAAAAACAACATAGCCCATAATTTTTGCTCTCCCATGACTGTAAGCTTCAAGGAACACCACTGAAATCTGTAAATTTACAGCAGCATAGCTGAAGTCAACATCTGACCCTGCATTTCCCCTGTCACCTCGTCTTCCATAGCAAAACGTTCCTGCTGAAGCTCTGAGGAGCGATGCAGTCCACACCTGAATGTGCAGGGTCAGGCTGTGCCTTTGTCAGGAGGGTTTGGCACTCAGAAAGAGAAAGAACTATGTATAGTGTGTGGCTTAGATAAAAACTGGTGTTTAAAACAAAAATTGTGCTAATATCTGAGGGTAGACAAGGTGTGCTGCCGTGCTTTTCCATCCCTGCAGTGCCTCAGAGGGCTAGGTGCTAACGAGCCCCAGGGTGTGCAGAGACAGGCTCTGCCAGGCTCTGTTGGTTTTACTGGGTGTATTTAAGGATTCTTAAGCAATGATGTAGTCCCACAGCCCCAGCACAAAAGCATCGTGCCAGTGGAGACCCAGCACAGCTCCCCTCATCTGAATGGCTCTGCCCAGCAAGCCCAGAGCTGGGGTAGTTGTTTCTTCAGGCCATTCCTGTTTGGTCTTTACTGAAGGGAAGAAGTTCTTTTTATTTATTTTTCTTTTCAGCATGTTTCCAATCTAACCAGGATGTAACGTTTTTTGGGGCATGCGAGCCAATGTCAGCTGAAGAGTCTGGCTGCTTTGGAGTGGTTTTCAAATGCAAGCCCCACAGCACGAGAGAATATGGGATTTGAGGAAAGGAGGCACTTTTAGAAGTATGCGTTTGCAGGGCCACAGGATCCATTATGCAGACAGAGTGATACCTTCATGGTGATAACGCACTCCCCAGAGCCCTCACACCCTTGAATATTTCATCGCTGAACCCTGAGCTTTGTCTTCCTGCACAGGCAATCAGTATTCTTCCATCCAGAGAGGTGTGTAACTTTCAAGGATCTATACTCATAGGTGAAATCATGCTCTGAAGTCATCCTTTCCAACAGGATTGAGTGATCACGAGTTACTGTTCTTGTCTCTACGGTGGCAGAGCTGAAGCGTGAGCAAGCTCATGCAGAAAATACAGAGGGTAGAACTTAATATCTATTACATGTAGGGCCAGGTCATCGCAGCCTTTATTCACATTTGGATCGAGCGAAGTGTGTTATTTTGCAGTGGTGTGTTTGGTTGGAAATGGAGACCTTTGACCTTCTAATTCTAGATTTGCAATTTGTAAAAAAGTGTTTTGGACTCTCGTTTTTAAAGGCTCGCATGTAGGAAGGGGTGCCCACAATTATCTCAGTACACACAACCTGAAGTGGTTCATCACTGAGACACTGAAGATACACAATGCTAGCAGTGAACCGTGCAAGTGGGCTATGAGGACAGCCAGATACGAAACACATTTGACAGGTTTGGAAAACCAAGTGTGCCACGTGGATGTACACTGGCAATCACAGCTCTTCACAGATGAGCATCTCATGGTTAGAACCTCGCATCACCCTGTTGAAACCAGGGGCCCAAGGGGGAGTGTTGTGATGAGGAACTTGTGGAGCTGTGATTCTTGTGACCGTTGTCTGCTGCCTCCCTTGGGTGTTGTGTCACTTGGGTGTGGAGCCTCTGGTTAGTTCCAGTTCCCAGGCACAGGCAGCTCCCCTCCTGTGCCCACTGTCTTGCCACTGGCGCTGTGGAACCACTACGTCAGGTTCATTCCCAGCAAAACCCAAAGCAAATAGCTTTACATCAAGGATGAACCTGACCTTTCATTCTTAATAGCTCTAAAGGCAAAAGATCAGAGAAAAAAATGTCAATATTCCTGACTGTATTGATGTTTGGTTGTGCACATGTCTTTCATCTAATAGAAGAGGTCTTAGTTCCTCACCCTGAAGCTTTCTCAGCTGGGAGATTGAAACTTGCAATAAATAATGAGCTAACTCTCTGGTGAAGTAAGTTCAGTTTCTTGGAGAGGAAGAGAGAAAAACAGTAAGAAAAGAACACAACCCAGCAATGCCATCCGGCTAACCGTGGGCAAGGGGCAGGGATATTACCAAAGCAAAGACTTGCATGGCCTTCCTTTACCTTACAGGTAGACAAACTGCTCCTCAAGCATTGCTCTGTGCCATCTGAGTGGGGAACAGTAGTTTAGTAGCTAAAAAACAAGGTCAAGAGGTGGGTTCATTAAGTTGCTAATAAAAAGCCCCCAAACCTGTAGAAATCCAACGAGGTGCTCGTCACTGCTATTGCACAGGTATTTTCTGCCTTCTACAATCACAACGCTGACTGTCAGGAGCAGTATCATTGTTATGTGGTAGGACCAGGGGATTTTCTCCATGCTGAGGACCCAGGAGGCTCTCCAGACCTGCCTCTGTCTCATCCAAAAATAGAGCAAAGCCTCACAGCTACACAGCAGGGAGCCATGGCCCATATACAGACCTGGGCCACGAGGGTTTGCTATTTCTGCTTGTTCAGCTGAACTTACACAGACACTGTACAGGAAGAGGTACTAGCAGCAAGTGCAAGGAGCCCCAGAGAAAAATGAAGTGGAAGTGTGGACCTCTGCTAAGTAGAAATGTTCTTCTCACTGGGGTCTTCACCTCATTTTAACCTGCTAAATTTGAAGTTTAAATAGTAGGTTGGTAACACATTTGAGGTCCACAAAGTGAGCGGTCTGGACATGTATAAAAGTTGGGGAAAGCTCGCTTTCCATCTGTAATAAAAATCAGTTTAAAATTAATAGATCCGGCACACACATGGCTTCACTTCTGTAGACTATTGCAACTTGTATTTTAATTGGCTCTTTGATTCGTTTCTGGTCACTGATCCACGGAGAATGCATGCTATATCATATTTTGGCAGGAATTGATGTGTGTGCATGGAAAGCAGACCCGGTAATACGTTATTTATAATTGACCAGCATGACATCTATGGGTTTATCTGGCAGACAGCATGGCTGATTGCAGTATTCATTGCCAAGAGACCCAGCTCTGGAGAGCACCTGGCAGGACAAAAGAAGAGCAAGTTTGGGGTTCTGTTTTTCTTAGATGGAGTGTATTTAGTCCGGCTTTTTATTAGAAGTTCTGTCTAATTTGGAAGGTGATTTTTTGGATGGTTTGCAAGAAAATTAAGTTTAGACATACTGATTTCTTCTGGTATGACCCAACTGAAAAGCCTTTACCTTTCAGGCTGGGTAGGCAATGCTCTTCTTGGTTAGCACTAGAGGGGGTACCATCCAGCATGTAAACTATTGTCAGGCACTTCACATCCTTTGACAAGTCCCTTTGTGCCTTGAAGTATGCCTAAGTGCTCACTGGAGAAGGCCTAGGGAGACACACAGGAAGAGAGAGGTGGTGTTTGAGACTGCCTATACCCTGTCCCATATGGATGGGATGTGTTTTCCCCTTCCCAGTTTTCCTTAACGACCTGCATGGAACAGAAGGAAGGAAGGAGACTGTTCTTAAAGAAAGAGTCCTATTTGTGATAGATAATAACATGTATGTGTGATCAGGTGAACATGCAAACTGCTTTCCCAAGGTGATATTAATTTCAAGCCTTTGCAAGCTCAAAATTGCCTGGGACTCTCTGTTTGTGGTGATGCTGGCTCCACCTCTGCCAGGGATGCCACTGTTGCCATAGCAACTCACCATCTCCCATTTTAGTCTTTCCCTTCGATCAGACGAGATAATTCCCAGATACAGAATGCACTAACAGCGTCCAGGTGCAGTACAGTTTGCACTGACACTTGTTTAGGAGGACTATGCCACTTGATACTTTCACTGCAGGCTCTTGCAACCATTGTTACTTGGCCTCCTCTGCCGAGAGCACTTCACCTCGTAGCAGAGAAGGTTTCCAGCCCACCCAGTGCTCCAAGGTAGCAATGAGAAAAGGCAGGACTCTATAAAGCTCACGCATACCAAGGCACTGGAAAAAGCTGAATCCATGGCCCATTAAGTTTATAGCAACCGTATCTAGTCTTTAGAATTTTTCTGTTTCTCGCCAAGACCTCCACATCAGTTGGCTGTGTGAACAGTGACCCATCAGACCCCAGCGGTTATGATCCCTGGGGAAAAAAACATTTCCCAGGATGCAGTGACCTCCCATCCCTACATCAAGGCAAGACAGCCCTTCTTTCCTCCTCACCCTGTTGTTGAAGGCTGCAAGAGATTAGATCAGTGCTCTCTCTGTTTTGAAGAGCAGGGAGAAACACAGGGGAGTATAATTTTTTTAACCATATCATGGAGAGTCTGGCACTTTTTTAAATTGTTCTGCGCAGCTTCCTTTGTATTTCTGTAGCACTCTTTCTGTTGAGGGATGACTGCAGGAGAAGGTCAAGTTAGGACAGTAACAGTCTAACAGGCATGTTTCTGCTAAGCCTTTCTCGATTGCAACCACTGCTTCGAATGACTTAGATGCGTGTTCTTCTTTTCCCCTACAGTTGGTCATGGGCAGAGCGAGGGCGATCGTATGGTTGTCTCAGATTTCCACGTCTTCGTCAGGGACAGCTTGCAGCACATTGATCTCATGAAGAAAGAGCACCCCAACCTGCCCATTCTCATCCTGGGGCACTCCATGGTAAGCACTATCCCCCTGTCCCTCCCAGCAGCACCCAGGACACGTCGCAGCACGGTGGTTCTTTTGTGGAGACTACTCAGCCCACAGCAGGAAAAACAAACTACAAGCAACCTTCCCTTCCACTTCATTCACTGACTGAGTTGCCAGTGTGCCGTGCCCCATGAGATCTGTCTTGAGTATAGTCAGTACTTAACTCTTCTACCTGGATCACAGCCCTAATTAGTGTCATTTGCAACAATGGGTCTATTTTTAAATAGGACCGTTCGTTGACACCAGGTGCATGACACGTTCCACCACCTCCCTCAGCATTAGGCTTCTCCTTTCATTTTAAGCCCTGTAAAGCTTTGTGAGTGGCCAGGGGATGAAGCATGAAAATACTCTGTAACCTCATTCTGTTAAACAACCTAACAGGAAAATGTACCAGGGATTAGGGCTGCAAAAACAAAGGCACTGATTTGGTGAGCAGATCCGAAGTCTGATTCTGACAGCACGGGCCAAATCCCTTCATTCAAGCTAGCAATATTCCCAGTGATGTCATTGATCTGCTCTCCCTGCCTTCCCGAAGGAGACGAAAATGAATAAGTACTTTGGGATTCAGGCCATGCTCAGATAAACAAGTGTTCTTGCATAAGAAGGCATGGCATGCTCTGAAGTGCTCGCTGCGCTCCAAAGCCGCTCTAACAAGGAGCTAATTTCCCAGTGAGGTCTTTGAGATGCTTCTCACTGCCGCTCCATTTAACAAGCCCCTGGTTCTCCGGCAGTGTGGAAGTTCACCAAATATTTCCCTTGGCAACTAATCCTCTGCAAATTTTCCTGAGAAAGCCAGCCAGGTCCCTTCTGTCCCCCGCCCCTCACGCCACCAGCCACTGTCCTCCTGCAGGAGGGTTCAGCCTGGCTGGTGTTCAGCTCAAAACCAGGCCTTGGGCACAGCGCTGTAGGCTGGAGGAGCTGGGGACACCGAAGAGGAGAATATTTAACTTCTAGTAATTAGTGAAGGTTTTCACATGCCGGGTGGCAGCATTGCTGTTGCCCAGGTTACCGGTGCCACGAGCACGGAGAGAGCCCAACTTCACAGCATCTTCCCAATGCAGCACCAGTCTGTCACACTGAATGAGCCTCAACATATTTTTCAAGTCGTAGAATCATAGAATGGTTTGGGTTGGAAGGGGCCTTAAAGATCATCTACTTCAAATCCCCCTGCCACGGGCAGGAACACCTCCCGCTAGACCAGGTTGCTCAAAGCCCCACATGAACATTTTCTTGTTAGTCCTTTCAACTGAGGAGGACACAAGGCATCCTAGGGAGCTGACAGACATTGCATGGACCGTTGAGTTCCGTGGGATGTGAGAGTTTACAGCATGAGAGAAGAACCTAGGTCTCTTCTCCCCCAGTAAAACCCAGCCACTTCTAATGACCCTCCTTCTCCAGCCTTCCTCACTGACCACACTGTACTCTCACTGGGGCAGAAATAATTTGCTTGTTTGGACTAAAACCCTTCCAGTAACAGGATAGCTGTATATAAATGAGATGTTGACACCTGTATTAAACTCTGGGGTGTTATTTTGCATTGCAGGGAGGAGCCATCTCCATTCTGACAGCTAGTGAGAGACCCAGCGAGTTTTCAGGCATGCTGTTAATCTCTCCTTTAGTGGTAGCCAGCCCAGAAGTTGCCACTCCCATCAAGGTAAGAGCAAACCCACGTTGCATCTAGTCACCTCACTCTTCCTCTGAGTGAAATGCATTAATGCTGTAGCTTTAAGATGCAAAACCCCAGTGAGATCTGTGCGACCTGGATGCTGGTCAATACTTCTCTTCTAAGTGCCTCCCCCACAGTCCCACCTACTTTTCAGAGGGAAGTGAATCCTGAACTCATCCAGAAAAACTTATTTGAATGAGAGTCAGAGAACGATGCTACCTCGGGAGGTGGTAGCAGACTGTACTTTCTTCACCACACCCTGTGGCAGCCCACACAGTGCCATCCTTTCCCTTCCTCTCCTACAGTTTTCTTCCTGACTCATACAGAGTCTGGTTTAGTTGCAACACAGGCTGCTGGCTCCGTCAGGCCAGGGTTATTTTTGGTGTTTGGGGGATGACCAATTTCTAAACAAAACTAGAGCTCTTGAGTCCCAGGAATCCTTCTTGAGTCTCAAAGGAGGTTTCCAGCTAAAGCATCACTGCCCCAGCAGCGTCCCATTTGGCTTGGTACCGAGGCTGGTTCTTGTCCAGACCACCTCCTTCAGTTTGCATTTAGACTTTAAACCCCCGCTCCGTTCCCATCTCCCTTCAGACCTATTTCTGATCCCAATTTGCACTGCCTGCTCTGTCCTTCCCCAGGGAGGCTCTGCAAGGGAGGCTCAGATCTCCCCTCCTTTCTGGATTTTTAAAAGAATAAACAAGAATCCTAAAAGAAGCTGGAAGCAGAGAGAAGGACCAGCAAAGCTATCAGGAACAACAGATCATCTCATTCCCACAGGACTCATTCCTTTATCCTTTCTCCCTAGAGTCTTCTCCTAGGGCTAGCTTGTTTTAATCTACTTCTAAGCTATTTCTGCTGGCTTTTTTTCTTCTAAGAGAAAGGAAACAGATTGCCTCAGCTTTCAGTATAATCCTCTCGCACCTTCTGCTGTAACCAAAGCCATCTACTGACCCCACAGATCATTACAAGCACCAAAGGGTGCTTTTTAATCACCTCACTCTTCCCCTGAAGGAAACGTGTTAAGACCTCTAGCCTTAAAATGCAAAACCCTGCTGAGATCTGCGCCACCTGGATGACAGTCAATATTTCCCTTCTAAGTGCCTTCCCTACAGTCCACCTACTTTTCAGAGGGGAAGGGAATCCTCACATTGTCCAGTCCAGGAAAACTTACTTAAATAGGAGTCAGTGCACCAAAGAGTGCTTTTAGGAGGCTGGTGGCTGATTCCTCACAGGTGAGGCTATACCTGACTTGGCATAAGCACCAGTGCCCCTGTTTTTTCTTACTTTGGAAAAAGAAAAATAAATATTAAGAAAAAGAATAGGGTCTGAATCTGAGAGACAGTGTTATCTGCCTGTTTCTAGTCAAGTCAAGGAAAATATAGAAAGATTTTCTTTCTTCTAGAGCTATACATTTTGCCAGATGCTAAGCCTTTTTTGAAATAAGGACTTACCAGTTCTGTGGGAACTAGTATACTATAGTCTGGTTTCTTGCAGATCTGTAGCATATTGTTGCTTTATTTCAGTGTAGGAAATCCTAATCTCTAACTGCAGTATTTTGGAGGTGTTTATATGGTCTGTTTCCTAGAGAGTCTCTCACATGCAGCAATACAAGTGCACAGTGAGTTTCTTTCTCTTTCAAATCTATTGTTGCATCTCAAAACTGATAAAAAATTAATTATTCCTGAAATATCTAGGCTCTGTGAAATTTAGTTGAAAGCAGTCCTGGAGTTAAAAAGGTAATTTCAAGAGGAAGGAGTGAAAACAGGCAGAGTATTCCTGTGTAAACCACATTTTCCCATTAAGCTGAGCTGAAAACGCTTGTGTGCTTTTTTTTTTTTTTCCCCTGAGAGCCAAAAAACTTTTCAGGGGTGTTTGTGCCTCTGAGGCATAAAGGCTTTGGTTTTCCCTTGGAACTGGTACAACTTCTCGGCCCTGGGCCATTTCCCAAGGACCACTGCCTTCATCCCTTTGCTGGGGAAGTTTCCAGCTGAGCAGGAATTTACCTTGGCCTAAAACAAACGGGGGTTCAAGGCAGCACTAGCAGTGGGCTGGGTAACACGCTGGGTCCTTCAGGCCCTGTTAGAAATATCTTCCCCCGCTGCCGAACCAGCCCTGGCAGCAGCAGAAACACTGCGTGTTTGCAGACGGCGTGCAGGAAAATCAAATTCTGCTCTTTGCAGAAACACAATAATCCCGTGTCCTGATAGCAGCATCGACCTACTTGTTAAATTACACTTCCAGTCAAGAGGCGATGTTCAGCCATCTATTTCAATCTTATTCTGAGATCTCTCTTACAGAGAGGGAAGGGATGGATGTGAACACTGTTGGTGTTTCTTTCACACACCTGCGGTGGCTTTGAGCAGCTCTAATAATCACTGCTCTGTAGTGCTGTCCTCAGACCAACCACTAATATCCCCATTATTGTATTACCCGTTCCTGGTCATTTGGGAGCTATTCTCTCAAGAACTGACATTGCCACTTTGAACCAACAGGGAGATAAACTTTCATGTATGAAATACATCCAGCACTTCAACAACACAGCCTTTGATTAAAGTCAGACACATCACAAACTATCACAGTGCTCACAAAATCAGTGAAGGCCCAGGAGAACCTTCTGAATTTTTTATTATAATATAAAACATTTTCTGGCTATGACCTTGCCTCCAAGAATTGTCAAAATTACATCTGAATTTTGAGGGTGTTGGAGGGAATGGAGAATTTCCTACAGATCTGAAGACCCCTTAAAGGATGGTGGCAGAGTCTTTTGACAATCAGTCCTATAGACCAGGGTTAATTCTGCCTGTGCATAAATAAGAGTTTCTATGCACACAGGGAGCATGTGTGTGTGAGTACATCTGACATGGCTACGTACAGGGTCTGGCGCTTCTCTTGTAGAGCTGAACACCAGAAATGACTTCTCTGGTGTCACCAACCCAGGATGGTACGTGCTGCTATACTTGTGGGCAGAAGCCAGCCCTATCCCCGGGGTGGTTTAGCAGAAAGCCTGGGGCAATTGCATTTATTTCTAAGTTAAATATCTCAGTGAGGTGTCCAAAGTTACTTGGCTTATACCTGGGTCATTTTAAGTAGTTTCAGAGAAGTAAAACTGTTACAGCATTGTCAGCACAGGGTCCGTAACCTCGCCTAGGGTTCATAAAGGTGCATTCCCCAAATCATCACTGCCTGGAGCTAACACAAAACAAACACATCCCCATTCTTAATTGTTTGCATCATAAGCTCATAGTTGCATTGGTGTGGGTATGTTATTTTACTGGTCTAACTCCAGAGAGCTCAGTAGAGATTAATTTTGCTGACACATGTCATAGCCAGTGAGGAGCTCAATGTACTGCTTGGCAGAGACACTGGCTCCTGGCCATTTCCACACCAAGGTATGCACATGTTCTCAAGCCTGCTGTGTGTCTTTACCACTTTTCACACCTGAATGACTTTGGCTTCAACCTTGTGTTATTCCTTTAATATCGTCATTACTCTGTCACGTATCATCTGTGATCTGGAATGTCAGGGGGTGCTTCAGAAGTGGTTCCATACCAGCAGAAAGAGAGAACATAGGTGACAGCCTGCCTGCAAGTGTTAGCAGTGAACATGAATGGGCCATGAAAGAGCCCAACAAACACTAATTGCATATTTTGTGACTTAAGTGGCGATCATTTAATTAAAGACAGCTATCAAAGATCAGAGCAGAAGCCTGGTATCAACATGCTTGTAGTGCTATTGAAATGAAAGATGTTACCCTTTCTTCTACCAGCGGTTTCCAGCCTGGGCTGCTGAATGCTTTTGTGTTTCGTTCCCAGGAGACAAGTGAGCAATGGATTTCCTCAGCCAATGCATGCACATTTTGCTGTTGTTTATTTACAGGTTCCCTGGAGAATAGGCTTATCAAAAGGAGTGCAGCCTAGGCACATCCACCAAACATCAGCTGTGCACCGCAGCCTGAAACCAGAGCTGTGGCAGCAAGGAAAGGGCAGCAAAACAGCAAAACCCAGCCCTTCTGAGGGCTGGAAATGGATTTTTCCTATCAAAGTGCTTAACTGAGGCTTTTTTAGAAATTAACTTGAGAATGAGAAAAAGGCAAAGTACACTGAAGCTGTGATGTTGCTTATGGACAGACAGCTAGACAGACTAGCACACCCACTCCCTGGTCCCAGGAGCCGTTTAACCACTTTCTTTTTAAGAGAAATGCTTTAAATATAGGACAGATCTTTCTTCAGTGTCAGTTGGCATTTCCCAACTATGTAACTTCAGTGTTGATTCCCACCAGCTCAGGATTTGGCCCTCTGTGTTATCTCTCTTGCTCTAACTAGCTCTGTAACTGCTTGCTTTCCTCTCCCACAGGTTTTTGCAGCGAAAGTGCTCAACTTCGTTCTCCCAAACCTGTCACTGGGATCGATAGATCCAAACGCAATTTCCCGGAACAAGAAGGAGGTGAGAACCTTAATGCAATTTAAAGTCACTGCATAGTCATATCTCATCCCAGTCCTGCCATTTCTCTTTTTGTTTAAAAAAAAAAAAAAAGCATTTTGCTAAATCACGAGGGCAAGATCTATGCTGGTGTAAAAAGGTGAAACAGCTCTGAAGCCGGTGGAATGAACTTCACACTAGGTTCACTGTGCTAAGGTTGTGGTGGGAAGCACACAGGAAGGGTGTTTGTCTCTGCTGCACCCCCACCACTAATTGCAGCAGCAAAAACCTGCTCATACAGGTTGCAAACACACTGCTAATGTCAAGTTTTCCAACTGTGCCCTTTGCAGCGAAACCAGGCAGAACTCTACAGTCCCAGAGATTTGTTTTCCCACTCACAAACCAGGATCACGTCGTGCCAGATCAAACAGAGGAAAAAAGTGTGCTTGCCCCAAAGACCTACAAGGTCTCCTGGATTACACACTGGCCCTGCTACAGCCTTTCTGAACAAGTGATGTATTCTTGTTGTGCCCGAGAATAATACTTTAAATGAGCTGCAATTGAAGCAGCTGCTGTAATAACCCACTTCCAGCTCCACCACCATGACTGTAAATGGAGCTCTTCCAGGGTGACATCTTTGTAGTGTCACCACAGCTTGGGACTCTTCTCCCATTCATACCCACTTGTGGGAATAACTATTGCAGCTCGTTCATGCCACCACTGACAAAACCAGATGTCATTCCCTCAGATTCAGCCTCAGCGTATCCCACCTGCTTGACTCACCCATTCGGTAAACCGGAAAGCAAAGAGTGTCCCACAAGAGCCACAAGGTGTTCAGGGCTGTTTCTTGGCTCTGCCAAAGAGGTTTTTGGTCAAACAGCTTTCAGTTCTCTTATCTGTGAGCAGAGCATATTGTTTCACTGGGCTGAAGGCAGAAAGATTGGAGGAGCTGAGAAAAGGAAGACAAAGTAGGTTCTAGGAAACTGTCAGGACAAGCATGGAGCAGGTTCGTCTGCATCCACTGGTGCACCATATGACATATGTTCTTAGATACCATATGAGGCTGCACAAAATACTTGGGAAGAAGGCTGATTCCAGTCAAGCTATAGCAACCTGTTCTTAATTACATTCAGCTGCCATAACTTTTTGCATATAATTCAGAGAAAAGAAATTCAGAGAAAATTAGAGAACTAATTCACTGAAATCACACGGAGGAAAGTTTTCCCTCTGCATTTGTGTTTAGAAGATAAAAGCAATCAGTGCTCTGGAGGAGGGGAGGAATTTGAGAGTGTTACCCCCTACCTGAAGGGTGACCTTGGCAGGGACACAGGGTCTTTGCCTGCTTCTGCACTGATTTGTTGTGTGGCACTTGAACTCCGTGCCACACGTGATCCTTAAGGGTAGCAGTTTTAAATGCACCTCTGACAGCTGGATCCTCTGCTGGAAGACGCTAGTGCTGCACTAAATAGCTTTACAGGAGAAAAGTGACAACGTGGGGACATCCCAACTAATTACGCATTTAGAAGAGTGTCAGTGAGCTCCCTTCATTTGGTGCACAATATTGACTAAGTGTTTCCATGTAGGCTGTTGGGGTGATGTTAGGAATCACCACAGCAACCACTGGACATAGTTTATAATAAATGCTGTTCTGTAGTCTTTCTACAAAAATATTTGCTGCTGCTCCCTCTGCTCTCTGATGCTCCAAGTGTTGAGAGTGTTGAGCATTGTTTTTCCTCTGCTCTTTCTCTTTCCTTGGAGCAAGAGGGAACCTTTTGCAGTGGATGAAAATGTAGGTCTGCTTCATTAGAGTCTGCTTATAACGGAGTAGTCATCAAAATGAGACAAGAAGCCCCTTCTTGCTGTGCTGCCTGCACACCTGCAAGTGAACACACAGCTGACATAGCAGCTGTGGATTGCAATGTAAAGCGCTTCCCCGACCATCTTCAAACACCAGGGTTTGAGGCCCCAGGCACTGACTGAAGACAACACAGCAGCTCGGTCCTCTGGCTGCCTCTAACGCACACTCCACCCTCCTTTTGGACTCAAGACGCGCAGCTTCAAAGCACACAATGTGCTGGAAACATCCATTATTTATATGTTAAACATATTCTTCTGCCAGACCAACTTTCTATTCTCTAGAAATATTCTTGGGACAACATCCAAGAATTTCCTGATGAGTTTGTGTTCCCAGCAGGCTGTCCTCAGGGTGTAGGGACTGAAACACAGGATAGTATGGTGATGTTTGTTTGATCTGCTTGCAAGATCAGATGCAAGAGACACAAAAGAGAGCAAGGACAAACCTTAAAAGCCCAGTCCTGTTATTCCAAGGGAATAACATCACAGGGGTGGGCACCCCTTTACCCCATTAATCTTTGTTAGCTACTGTTGAATTCAGTGGAATAGTCCCCCTGACTTTAGTCTTGCACCTGCAGAGTCCACATAGGCTGAGGCTGGAATTACCTCATAATGAATTTATTGCTCTGCAAAATGCAAAGGGAATATACAGACCTCTAAGCAGGGGAATGTAATGCAGCAGGAGCCCTGAAGGTTGCTTCTGCCTTAGAATTTCATAAAGAGAAAAAAGAGCTGTTGTGATGGACCCTGCAGAGCCTTTGCTGGACCGTGGCTGGAAGCGGTCACAGGCTCTCCTGGGGACACCCTCACTTGCTTGTCCCGCTCTCTCAGAGCTCAGTGTCCCAACAGGACACAGTTTGGAGTTTATAGCTTGCAGAATATAAAGCCCATTCCCTATCTTTCCCCAGCGAGCTGCTGCTTTGCCCTCACCCCATGTGTTGAACATTAACTCTGACAAGGATTCCTGTTCATCGACTGGGAACAGGATCCTTCCCCTGCAGTCCTGATCGATCTGGGTTAAAATTGGGTTATTATTTTTTTTTCCTCCCATCATCTACACAAAAATATTTGTTGGCTGCTCAGTAGCTAAAAAATCCCTGTTCTTTCAGAAAAGAACAAGAGAAAGAAAGAAACCCACTAGGTCATTCTCTGAGCATTTATGTGGCTGGGGAGGGGGCCAGCTCACATGAATTCATCAACATTGTTTTACTCCATGGGAAAGGAACTCTGTCAATCTATCCACCCACCCCTCCTGATTCGCCCCCTGCAAAGTCCCTCATTTGTCGCCTTTGATTAAAAAAATCCTAAAAAATAAAAAGAAACGCCTCTCAAAGCAGTTGGTTTAATGCATGGATCCAGACATAGATCCAGACAAGCAACTCCCAGATTAGGCTGAAGCCAGTTGCTAAGTAGCCAGTGCAACACGGTGGTTTTGCTCAAAATGCTGATGAAAAGTCAACATGTTTGGCTGCAAATATCAGGGTACACCCAGCTGGTAATGGCAGAGCTAGCCAAATCAGAGGTGGTTGGTGTTTTGGAAACCAAAGCTGAACTTTTTCCATGAGCATGTTCACGAGAGGATGCTTCTTTCCAAACAGAGGCAGCTTCTTGCTCTTTTGAGGCACTTTGTAGAGCAAGGAAGGCACGGCAGGCAGGATGAGCAGTGTAGGGGATGCAGGACACAGGTGGAGGTTTCTGCACCAACAAGCTGGTCAGGAGAAGTCTCTGTAGGACAGTCTGTGCAGAGCCAGGAGGACCACATGCATTTAGCAGGAGCGGAGAATACTCAGCACGTCTTAAGAGTGGATCTTTTTACACTAACCACAACCTCGTCTTTGCAGTGGCCTCTTACAGAGTTTTCTAAACCCTCAGAGAGCATGGACTCTTGCTTCTTTGAAAGGTAGATACTAGACCTAAGACCCTGTGGTGAGAGACTGCTGTGTTTGTCTTCCTGCCAAAAACTACCCCTCACTTCAGAGTAGCCATGATCTTGCACAGAGGCCAAAACACAACAATGGCCTTAATCAAATACTAGAAACATCTGCTGCATCCAAGGGTCCCTAAATGAGTGATAAACAACTTGAATTTCTTTGGTCCAACTTCAGCACAAGTTAGAGCAGCTCTAAAGCTCTCATCCCCTTGACCACTGTCAGTACTGTGGGCTGGGAGAGATGGGTACCAGCCCCTAATAGTTTCCAACTCCCACATATTCCTTCCCTTTGCTGCACTCGGAGATAGGAACCAGGGGTTCAAACAGCAGGAGATGGTGGGGACTGGAAGCAAGAAGGTGACAGGGAAAGATTCATGTGCTGCCAGCTCCATTTCCCATGCTTTGTGCTCCAACACACTGAAGACAATGAGGAGGGAAACTGGCTTTATGCCCTCTGGCAAATTAATATCCCCCCAGATGGGAAAGCTCCACCACATAGTGTCCTTCTGCCACTCTGATAATCTCATCTCACAGGGAGGTGAACACAGAATCCATCTCAAAGTCTTTTTGGCTTCTTGGTGAGGACCAGGCAGGCCATGCTGCCCTGCTACGGTGCATGTTTGTGCTTACACCTACACAGCTACATGTCCCTGGGGTGGTCTTGGGGGTCACCTCCCACTAGCGGTCCTTTCAGGGCAGGCATGTGCAGCAGCAAGAGGGCCTCGAGTTTCTGCAAAGTGAGGGACAATTTGAACAGACCCCACTGCCTGTGACGAGAGAAGGAGACTGTTGTTGGTTAACCTATAAATAACCATCATTTCTACAAACATCTGCCAGGGTTGGGAGAAACTGGAGGCTGTGCCAGAGACCAACCCGTAATCAAAGCATTCTGGCAAATATTGAGATGGCAGTGGCTGTGTGGGCCGTCTCCATGTACAGTATACAAATATTTACTGTAGATTTGCCTGCTGCGGTAACTACTCGTTCCTAGCAACTTTCTGCACCAGCTCTTGTACATTTTTATCCTCTCAGTCTGGCTGAGCAAGTTGTTGATTTTTTTTTTTAATTTTTTTTTTCACCTGCCACCTAATGCCGTCATTTGCTGCCTTGTCTGTGCAGACTTTGCACCCAGAGAGGACCCCTCAGTGTAAGAGCACTTTGCAGTCAGGTGTGTCACTTGTCTGTAGGCGTGGGTCATGGTCTTCATCCCCTGAGAGGGAAGGTGAAAGAGAACATCTGAGCTCTCAGTGGAGAGGATAAGGACCCGGGGGCACATCAGCTTTCAAGTAACATGGTCTGAAGAACCCTCTGCAGGAGAGATGACACCTTTGACTGGCAGAAGGACATGGCAGAGTGGAAAAATGCAGGCAGGTGCTCCCATGGGAACAGTCCTTGTCCAGCACTGGTTGTTTACTGCAGAAAGAGCTTTGGCTTGAATATTTTCTAGGGATGTAAGAGAGAAACACAGCAGGGAGCAAGCCAGGTTGTGTGAGCCCTTCTGGGTAGCTACAGTAAAGATCTGGACCTTGACTCTGATGGCAGGATGTCCTGACAGAGTAGGAAATGTCCGTGCAAGCCAAGGGAAGAGACTCCTCACTACCAGGCTGACATGCTTTGTCTTTTCTGCATGAAATATTGCTAACCTTAAATTACCTCTCTCTCTCTGCCAGATGGAATCTTACACATCTGATCCCCTGGTCTACCATGGTGGCATGAAGGTCTCCTTTGTCATCCAGCTGATGAATGCCATTGCCAGAATCGAGCGAGCTCTGCCCCAGCTGACTTTGCCCATCCTGGTGCTACACGGCTCTTCCGACAAGCTCTGCGACATCAAAGGGTCCTATTTACTGATGGACACAGTGCAGAGCCAGGACAAAACACTCAAGGTCATCTTGCTTTCTTGATTTTTGGGGTATTATCCTGTCAGTGTTGGCCTAAGCATGAGTGACTCTGAGGGGCAGGGAACCTGCTGAGCTCTAGAGAGCTGGAGGAAAAGCAGGGCTGATGCACTGGCAAGACCAAACACTTTACAGCCCCTTTGACCAGGAGGTAGCCCTCCCAAAGCACAGTGTGGTGGCCTTTCACCAGCTACAGCTGGGCTGTGGGCAAGACCTGACCCAGAGGTGGCTGTGTACCTAGTAGGTCTCTTGGACATAAAGCAACTTGGCATAGAAGTAGAGCAAGGCTCATAAGCAAGTAAAGTGCTGACCCCAAAAGCTCTTCTGACCCACGCCAACTGTGTGAGCACCAACCTTACCTCATGCCCCAGCGCGTAAAGGTGCAGAGGGGCCTTTCCAAAGCAGCGGACAACAAAAGCCACTTCACATCTGCTCATTTCAAGAGAGCCACAGCTGATTAACCAATTGTTAGCACATGAATGAGCCTGAAAGAGAGACAGGGAGACCAAGGGAAAGCTTTTGTCATTGGAAAAATAACTGGATGGTCTGTGCATAAAAGGAGTAAAATTGCACAAGGCATGATGGGAACATCCCCCATTGTCCTTTAAACTCCAAGGGCATGATAAGTATTTCCTCCTTCTTAGTGGGACAAGCAGCAAGAAATTCATGGGGTGGGGACATCATGCATTATCTTCTGAAAGGGCAGTAGGGTGCTCGGGTGAGGTGCAGATGTCAACACGCAATGCCAATGCCTTCCTGCTCGTGCAGGGCCAGCACCACCAATGGCATCTCTTTGATTTCATAAGCTGCCACATCCAGGAAAAAGTCCTGACAAGGTGTGGGCAGGACGTGTTGGACCTGTGGGTGTTGACGAGAGGGGACTGAGGCTATTTTGTTCATACGGATTATTTATTTTTTTTCTCTGCTAATCTCCATTCTCTCCCTGGTCGCAGGTGTATGAGGAAGCCTATCACGCCCTCCACAAAGAGCTGCCTGAGGTCTCTACCTCTGTCTTCACAGAAATACTAACGTGGATTGGCCAGAAGGTCTCAGCAGCTGAGGAAACCAGCCATACTTAAGAGCAATTGGCTTTGCAGCTTTTACTGGGGTTTTCTGGGAATTGATGCTTTTCTTAATAGCAGTCTCTCTGAAAAAGATCTAATGTGGAGGGACTCTTGGGATATTTTATCATGCACAGCGTAAGGGAGGGTGGGGGGAGAGGCACAGGGAGGGGCATTATTTGCTGATGTAAATGGCCATTGCCCTGATCTGGGGAAGGATTGATAGCTGAGGGAGCAGCCATCAAAGCTTTCCAGGTCGGGTGATTTTACTGAAATGCCCCTCACCCACCAAACTCCCCCCATCACTTCCCCTTCTCTGCTTTTGCTGGGGTGACAGGGGTGTATTTATACTGCAATAACTTTTGGTATGTTAAAAAAGTCAGTATCTTCCACTTCATGGTTTTGATTCCAGGTGCATATAGTCCCTTCCCTGACCCCACCATCCAGTACCTTAAAAGTCCTTGAGAGGAGTAACAAAGGTGCCGGGTAACAAGGAGAGGCTGAGGATGGAGCTGGCAGCTCCCTGAAGGTAAAAGGCTGGTTTTCAAGGCTAGATCCCTTTGGATACTGCCTTTGTAAGCAGGCCAGGCCAGGGGAGAGCACAGAGAGAGCCTCCCCACCGCCCGCACATCCTCTGTGAGTTTGCACTCGGGGAAAGCGTGTTGAACAGCTCTTTAATTTTCATCATCAGAGCAGGATCCCAGAGGAGAGAGGAGGAATGTGGAATCAAACCCACTTAGCACATTCAAAAACCATGCTTTTCCCAATGCCAAACCCCATCTCCTCTGCAAAATTAACTATTCTGTAAATATTCCTAGGGGCTGCTTTCTTTTCCTTCCTTTTTTTTTTTTTTTTTTTTTTTTTTGTTTTTCTTTTCAAATTAATCACTTGTGCTACTGAAACTGAAAAAGCAAAGTCAAAGTTATAAGAGAATAGAGTAATATAATATATGATGTATATAGAGGTGGCTGAGAGCTGGGGAAGAGATGGGAGGAGAGTCTAAAGAAGGGGTTAATTGTTCCCTCTCTTGGCAAGGAATAATGTTGTCCTACCGGGATCCAGTCCTCTCACCATAACTTTACAGTCATAATCTGTTGTTTTCCTTCATCAGTTGGAAAATGTCCTGAAAATAATGCTAGAGAGAAGCGCAGAGCATCTGGTGGGTGGGGATTAGCAGTGGGTGTCCTCATGGTCCACCGGTTTAGCAGGAGACCCACAGCGTGAACAGAGATCCCATCCAGGCTCGTCCCAGTCTCCTCCTAATCAGCACAGCCACCTCTGGGGCAGATCACTGAGCAGAGGGGCTGAGCTCTCCCCTTTAGGCAACGTGGGGAGCTGAAGGCAGTTTGGGTGCAGTCATCCATCCAACATCTACCTTGATGCGCTGGGGGTGTCCCGGGGCACTGCTGGACAAGCTGCCATGGAGGAGCTTATGGACTGGTCCAGTGGTGCAGACGAGCCAAATCCTAGAGCTGCTCAGGTCTCTGGTAGCAGTAGGGCTAAAGGAAAGACTTAAGACCCAGTTACGGAGTGGAGGCTTTGTATTGATACAGCAAAAGCAGCGCAGTGATCCCAGCGTGGCTGTGCGGGTCAGTTTGTCCAGCCCTAATTATGAATACACTTCTTGGCACTAGCCAAAGGGAGGGCTTTAACCTGCCCCCCTCCCACCAATTTTGCAAAAAGATGCCCGCAAATGTTGCACTATGAGAGAGTGGGACATCCCCCCCCTTGACAAGCCAGCCCCCTCGTTGCCTTCCTGGCAGTGGTGGGAACCGTCGCTATGTCTTGTGCTGGATCCCACCAGGGACAGTCGCGGGGGGTCACCCACCTCTCCTCCCCTTGAAGCCACTTCTGGCCAGATTCAGGAAAGGGACCTTTGTGCAATAACAGTCAGAATCAGGGCTCGGTCCCGTTCGGTCCCAGCAGCGTCGATGGATGAAGGATGTGTGGATGCAGGTTACGTCCGTGGAGTGGCCATAAGGGGCCCAAGTCAGGAAAGCTCTTTTGTACGTGTTGATCCAGGCACTTTCATACTTGTATTTTCTTGCCTCTAAAGGGAGGGATGAGCTGTAGTTCTCCCAGCAACACTAGCTTTTGATTCATTATTCCAGTGCAATCAGCTGTTCCCACAAACCCCTGCTGACTCTTGCTTTGGGAAGGAGGCGATGCACAGGTCACCTGCTTCCTATCTTCCAGCAGCCTGGCTTGTTCCAGCTTCTTTTCCCCCGAGCGAGATCCCTCCTCGTCAGATGCTGCTGGGGAAAGACAGCAAGGAGAGAAACACTACAGCGGTGATAGACCTCACCTGCTGCTTCAGCTGGAAGGGGAATCACGTAGGCGTGATCCAGTGGTGACAGACGTGGCGGGGGTAGTAGCAAGACGATGATTTAAGGATGGGATTTTTGAAAGCACTTTTCCCGAGGAAGTCAGGAGGAGCAAATCAATGCCCACATTCTTTACATCCCTTCCCAAACTGACAAGCACTTTGTGGGGGGGAGGAGGGAAAGTGACCCTCCAGCAGGAAGGTCAGAGCCCGGCTGCTCCCTCCAACCCGGCTTCAGGCAGAGGAAGGTCCGTGGTCAGTGCCTTTGATAAAATGTGTCCTTTCACCCAAAAAAACATCTGCAGCTCAGCAGAAATAAAAGGAAACCAATTACATTGATGTGGGGAAGGCTTGTCCCTCTGTCTAGCTAAGCTCAGCAACGGCATGTGGCCTGGGGAAGCTCTGTTTGAAAATCAGGTTAACAAACAGAAAGTTGAAAGAACAACAACAAAAAAGCCAAATAAGCCCCCCGAGCCCTGGCACAGCAGGGGTTATGGCCACCCTCAGTCAGTTTTCTGAAGAATTATCTTCTGAGGGAATTAACAGAAGGAAACCTACCCAAAAAGAGCCCCGAGGGCTCAGCAGCCTGCCTGGCGTCTCACACCTCCAGGTGAGGCTGTGGAGCAGGAGCTGCTGGTGTGCAGGTGGGGAGATGGGATGGGATGGGAGCCGGGGTGCAGGTGGGGAGCTGGGGGTGACTCCGAGATCCCAATTGGCACCAGCTGTAGCTCAGCCAGCACCTCCCAGCTCCGGCTCATCCCCTTCCCCTGCCCATAAGCTGCTTTATATTGACCCAGTTCAGTTTCACCGTGCCCCAGAGGAGTTCTTCCTTCGCTGACCAGATTAGTAACGAGCAGAGCTGCCGCCGAGGGAAATGTAATTAAACTCTATTTTCAAACGGCAGGTACCACTTGCAGGGAGCACAGCCAGCCTTACGAATGTTGCTGTGCGGAGCCGAGCAGAGACCAGTCTGCCTTTGAGACTAAGGTGGCACTCGTGACTGAGCAATAGCAACGTGTAACTACTGTAGATACCACCACCACCACCACCTGTAGCACTGAGAGACCCTTCCCCCACCGCATAACCCATCACATTTTCTATTTAGCCTGTTCTTTTTATACCACTCACCTTAGCACACTGCCAGCACAAACCCATCGAGAACACACGTACTTTTCCAAGCAATTTCTGAGCTTGTCTCTCTTGTTCCGTTGTGTTCCAGTTCAATAAAATACATTTATATATATATACATATATAAAAACATATATATATACACATGTATTTTCAGTGGGAAAAACCATATACAAGTTTAGGATTCTTAAAGGAATACAATGTATATTGCAACTAATAATAAAGTTATGTTTTCTGAACAGAGCGTGTTTGAGGGCATCTTTGGTGACTGCCATCCCTCCGGAGGGTGAGGAGGGAAGGGCAGGGAGGTATTAAATTGCCATTCAGCCTGTGGAGGGGGGGCTGCAGCCCCTGGGTGCTGCCACATGGCCAGCGTGGCCAGCACCTGCTCCCCAGCTACTGTGGGGCTGTGGGGACAGCCACATCTCACAGGGGCCTGAGGTTCCCTTTCTGCCTCAAGGTCAGCTTTTTTGAAGAGCCCTGAAGCCCACAGCCTCACGCCATTATCTGCTATAGCCCACAGCAGCACAATAATAAGTTATTTTGGGGCACTGCAGGGGTAAGATGCCTTTACATCCAACTGTGACCTAACAGGGCTGGCTGGGTAACCCCGAGGAAAACTAGCTCTACTCTCTACTCTTCTCAGAGTCAAAACTTGCTTTTTTTTTAATTGTAGGTGAGGTGCTACCTTTAAAACAAGTAAAATCCCCTGGCCCAAGTGCTTCCTCGACCCCGAATGAAAGAGCAGTCTGGAGCTGGTGGAAGACCCTGGAGTAACAGGCCAGCTCAGCCTGTGTTGAGACCTGGTTCCCATGCATTTACAAGCCTGTTAAAATATCATCTTGGTCCTGAACCATACCTAATTCAAACACCAAGAACCTGCACCCTGGCCAGGGGCAGCAGCCAATTAAATCCTACTTTTTGCCCCCAGCTGTGACTACAGAGAGGGCTGGGGAGCGGGGTTTGCTGCTCTCAGCTCCCAGGCAGTGTCTCAGGGCTGTAGGAGCCCCAGGTCCATCCAAACCTGGGGTTGGAGCTGTCAGGGTGTCCCGTGCTGTGGAAACTTCCCTCCTACCTGGAGAGCGGTGACGGGACACAGCCCAGACACAGGGTCCCCTCCTGCCTCCCTCCCTGCACAGGCTACAGGACAAGCTGCTGCGTTTGTGAGGGCTCCCCGGCTGCTCACTTCCACCCCAAAAGGGGTGACAACTACCACTGCCACAGCAGGGGACAGAGGGGACAGCACATCCATGTGCCCACCCTCTGGCTGGAGTCATTCACAGTGCTTAGACCCAACCCACAACCTCAGGCAACTAATTTCATCCTCCTCCTCACGCCTCAACTCGTTGAATCAAGAGAATTACAGTCTTTTTCTGCAGCCCCACAGGCTGTATGTCTGATCACACCCCAGCTCGTTGGGTCAGAAGCTCTGGCCGTTGACTTGGATGCACGTCGGCACAGAGAGAGGCACCGGGGCTTTTTGCCAAGCCAGCGGGCACACCGTGGCAGTAAAATACATCATTAGTAACGAGACCTGCTTTAATACTGCACATCCCCAGCTCTTTTACCTGGTATTTCAGTGGCTCATGAGGGTCCTTGCAGATGTGAGGGCTGACAGAGGATGCGTGCCGTGGTGCTGTCAGTTTCCCGGTGTCACCACCCGGTGCTCGCTGAGCTGTCACGACCATGGGTGGCCTTTCTGTTCTTGGCACGTGCCTCTAGTCCGGTCCTGTGAGCCTGCGGGAAGCCTGAAGCTTTTTGCCTATTTCTTTCCCCCCAGCCTGTGCTTAGTCCGGTGTTATCGTGGGTCTTGGTGCAAGGTGGGGATCAGCTGAGGGTAAAGCAGGAGCCAGAGCAGTGCCATGGTAGGCAGTGGGGAGGGGGGATGAACCCCAAAGAAGTCCTCTCTGGCTGCCCCGACAAGGCTGGTGGGGATGGGCAGCCTGCCCTGCTGTCGGGACATGGGGTGAGAGGTGCTACACTTGGTCACATCGTTGCAGGGACCTCCTGGACCACACAGCCCATCACCCCGGCCAGGCTCAGGCACCCGAGAAGAGCCAAATGCTGCAGCTTCAATGAGCAGTGGGGAATTTTAATTCAGAGGATCAGGTCAGTGTATAAACCATCAGTGTTATGGTTGCATTTTCTGCTGGGAAATGGTTAAGCGTGGGATTTAGAGGCCATGGGAGGAGGAGGGAGAAGTGGGGGTGCAATTCACTCCAGAGCTGCTGGTGGGGGCAAGCGGGGACTCACATCTCTTTGGCTGCTGCTACCATCCCTGCTTGGTCCTCAGAGAGATCTCCAAAACAGGGAGAGGGGATAGAGCTGACGGAGCCACGCAGGTGCCACCACACTATCAAAGACCACCACACCATTACAGACCACCGCTACCACATGCCATGCTGGCAGCCTGACTCCCTGCCACAGCTCCTCCAGCTCACTCCGGGCTCTCAAAAGTGGGGGTTTTTGAGCAGTTGTTTGCTTTTCTCCCCTCGTATGAGCACAACAAGTCCCCTTCGCACACAGAAACAGGGCAATGCTCTCCCAACTTAGTCCGGGATGCTCTCTTTCTCCATCTGATGGGGAAGCTGCTGCTGTGGAGCTACCACTCACCTTCCTGCAGTTCTCCTAACATCTGCCTTATTAAACCAAACAGCCACGTCCATGAGCAAACAGTGCAGAGCCCACATCTCCCAGCAGGAGCAAGCCAAACAACTGACCTTCCTGTAGCCACTGCTCCTTGGGAAGGAGGGAGACGGGATTAATTTCCCTTCCCTCCGGAGGAAGCTCTTCAGAGTCTGGAAACACTCCAGGAATTCAGATGAAAACAATTCCTAAGAGATCAATTAAGAGTTTGGATGGATCGCATGATACGCGCTGATGTCTAAACAGAGGAAACTTGGCAATGAAATCTGCTTGGCCTGGGCGGGGGAGCAGAGGGGAGGGCAAGATGTCCAGCGTGGAAAACACTTGTCTTCTAAGAAAACAGGCAGAGATGAGAACAGCAGCAGCAAAGCAACAGCAGCTTGGGTGCAAAGGGCAAGGGGTACATTCCCTGTGTCAGTTTAGGAAGGGTCCGTGATGAAAGGCAAGCAAGACCCTGCCAGAGCATGGTAAACCCTGCCATGAGCTAGAGCCCCAGAAAAAGCAGGGCTTTCCAGCCCCCCCAAGGCCAGCAGCCTTCACATCACAGTTGTGCCTTCATTGAGATGAAAAGACATGTGATGGCAACACCAGCAAAGCTCTCCCGAGGCCAAGAGAGTGAACTTGGAGCAGGAGACAGCCACGTGCAAGAAATAAACAACTCTGGTTCTCCATCCAGAGAGCAAAAATAGTCAGTTTTTCCCCCAGGCCGGAGCGCGGGGTCAGCTTCGTGCTGCAGCGCCAGCGACGAGCCGCCCGCCCGCAGCACAGGGCAGCCCTTGTCTCACCCGTGCCAAAAGCCCTGCTGGCGCCGAGCTGCCAGGGCTCCCCCCCTGCACTTTTCACACCAACCCCCCCCCTCCCCGTGCCCAGCCTGTGCACATCCCTCACTGAGGCTGCTCTGCACCAAAACCCCAGCCCGGGGCCACTCGCCTGGCTGGTCGGCAGAGCGAGAGAAGGGCTTTCCCCTCGTGTGCTTTCGGTCCTGAAAGGCTTTTCTTTAATTGCACGCACGATTGGAAAAGGTCAGATAAAAATCAGGAAAGAAGAAATGCCATCTTGCCCAGCCCCAGGAAGGGAAGGAGCCGTCCTCCCCCAGGAGCAGCACGGCCAGAGCCAGCACCTCGGGTGGCTTTGAAGGTACCGTGCCCAACAGGCACTCAGATTGGAAGAGCCACAAGGCAGAAAAAGCTTCCTGGACAATTCCCCTGAAGCATTTTCAGCTTCTCAACAAGAGCCTTTGGGAAAGGGAGAGAGATTGAACTTGCCGCCAACAAACTTGTTTTAAAACTCCTGGATAGAAGTTCAGTTTTCGATCCAGGGAGGAGGGGGGTGGAAGGAGTTCTAGAGAGCAGATTGCTGGCTCCCGTTATGGAAGCAAGCTTAATAAAATTCATAGAAATATTGGTGGTTCTGCTGTGCTGTGCCAAGAATGTGTTAGAATAAAACCTTCTGAGCAGAAGGGAGAGATATAATGTCATCTTAGCCTTGATATGAAAGATCAGCCTTCATCTCGTAAAGCATATCTCAGAGCAGTAACTAACACATTTACTTGCCTTCCCTCCAGAGCAGGTCCCTGCACAGCCTTGCTTCCACAGTCCATCACTGTCGCAGCCTTGTACGAATGGTTCTGGGATGCCCTTGGCGTGTAAAAAAGTGATATGATAAAAGAATAAAGAGGGAGGCATTTTTTCTTACTGGGGTTTTAACGCCACCCCAGTGCAACACAAATCAGCTCAGTGTCCTCCATGGGAAAGCTACATCAAGCTATTTTGGATTTCTTTAAAAAGACCAACCCTACCACACCCTGAGCCCATGAACCGATGTATCTGGCCATGCCAAGAGCTCTCTTCACCTCCCTCTTTCCTAACACAGCGTGCCAAAGCAACGGCCTCATGTTCTGCCACGCCAGCAAACAGAGCAGGGCACAAAGCAGACCCCCAGCAGAGCTGCAGCCAGCAGGGACCACATCCCACCTTCCAGTCCTGCTCCCTTTCCCCTCGAGCTTGCTCTGATGGCAACAGGAGGAGGGAGAGGAAAGCTCTCACTCGTTTCTCAGAGCTTATTTTGGGAATCAAGTAGCCAGACCCTTGGGACCAGAACTAGCTCTTTGCCTGGGTACTAATCCTCTTCCAAGGCTTTCTTTAGTCTCTTGAAATGCCCTTCAAACCTTGCCCTGAACTTGCAGGCTTACAGAGTTAACCACAACTAGGAAAAATGAAAGGCATGTGACGCTTGCCCCCTTCCCCAGATGCTGACTGCCTGTACCTTGAAGCTTGTGGCTTGGCTTGTGGCCTTAATGATCTGCATGTCCATAGCTGTACCCAAACGTGGCTGCTGTCCCCTAATTAATAGGGTCCCTCTCAGCAATCCTTGCCTTGGTTATTGCCAATAACCCACCTCCCATTTTCCAACCTAAAGCCCTAGAAACCATTTGCAACCCTAGGAAAGGAGTTCTCTGCCTTTCTCCATCTGCACTCCTTCGAGGCAGGCAGCAACCCCGGTGGAGCCAGCTCCTTTATTCAAAACAGGCCCAGACTCTGACAAAGGGCTTGCTGGCGTGGACTCTCTTACCTTAACAAATTTGTTGTGTCAA